CACTCTGATAGGCAGTGAAGATGTCGCTACCACTTGACGGGGCATTCACTTGCTGATAAGATCCTGTCCCTGATGGAGTAGCGTCCTGAATCGGTGAAGGCGGATTCGACGACGTAGTCTTTGCCTTAGTCCTTGGAGTCATCGGAGGCGACAATTGTCGTGCAGATGATCTTCTCTTTCCAGGTGTGCTGTCCCTATCTTCAATTGCTTGCATTGTCGAAATTTGTCTCCCTCTAGGAGCAACCAGATGTCGCCTGGGCTGGCTTGTTCTCAGTTCTGAGGCATCGCTTCCACCAGTGTCGATACTCTGTGAAGAATTTGACTGCGTGCCGGCAGCTGGTGCAACGGCATGTCCAGAAAAAGAAAATGCATTATCGCTGCTATCCTGTTCAGTCATCTGTAAGGCCCGCGGCTCCCCGCTCGTAGGCTCCGTAGGAGTCCTACGGCTGATAACCTGTGAATCGGAGGTTGTCACTCCGACTATGTATTGATGTTGGTTCTTGAAGGAGTCGTCTTCAATGGCGATGACAAGTGAATAGCGGCTTCCGCATGGCTTTGCTCTTTTCCGGTACTGCAGTGGGTCTTGAGCCAAAGGGGCGATTTGATGTACCCCCTTGGCAATGGATCCTAGAGTGTCAAATTATATGTGGATATACAATCGTACGTAGCCTACACTCTATTCGCAATATACAATATATATATATATACAATATATATATATATATACAATATATATATATATATATATATACAATATATATATATATACAATGTATATATATATATTCTAACCAAAGTAGTGTATTGAAATGTGTGCAAGCTTGAATTTAAATTAAAAAAAGCGGGAGGGGGGGATTGGGGGGGAGGGGCGCAGCGCCTCCCCCCCAAAGCAGATTGGAAACACCTATTTTCACATGCAAGGTGCTAGGTTGAATGTGATACTCAAGGTGTATATACTACACGACATGCACCTTGGAAACATGTGGAATGTAGGTTAAGGCACAACGATGCACAATAGTTTCATTTGATGTTATCATCGAGTTGGTTTAAGATCTATTTATATAAGGTTTGGTTCAGGGCTGGCTTGGGGTTTGAATATCATCCGCATGATAATGCAAACCTTTTAGGTAGATATATATATATACAGATATATATATATATATAGATATAGATATATAGATAAATAGATATATATATTTAAAGATATATAGATATAAAGATATATGTATATATACATATAGAAATATAGATAGATATATACAGATATATAGATATATGGTGGTATATAAATATATATATAGAGAGAGAGATATGGATATATAGAGATATATTTATATATATAGATATATAGATATATAGTGTGTATATATATATAGAGAGATATAGATATATAGGTATATAGATAGATATGTATAGATAGATAGATAGATAGATAGATAGATAGATAGATAGATAGATAGATAGATAGATAGATAGATAGATAGATAGATAGATAGATAGATAGATAGATAGATAGATAGATAGATAGATAGATAGATAGATAGATAGATAGATAGATAGATAGATAGATAGATAGATAGATAGATAGATATAGATAGATAGATATATAGATATATAGATATCTAGATATAGATATATATATATATAGATATCTAGATATAGATATATATAGAGATATATAGAGATATATATAGATATATAGATATATATATATATAGATATATAGATATATAGATAATTATATAGATATATGATATATATATATAGGTATATAGATATATAGATACAGCCATAGATGTAGATATAGATACAGATATAGATAGACATAGATAGATATAGATACGTAGATATAGATAGATATAGATAGATATAGATGGATGGATATAGATGGATAGAAGATGTTGCTCCACACCTCATGGAAAAGCAAAAAAGCAAAGAAAAGCAAAAAAGCAAAAAAGCAAAGAAAAGCAAGAAAAGCAAAAAAGCAAAGAAAAGCAGAAAAGCGAGAAAAGCAAAAAAGCAAAGAAAAGCAAGGAAAGCAAAAAAGCAAAAAAGCAAAGAAAAGCAAGAAAAGCAAAAAAGCAAAGAAAAGCAAGAAAAGCAAAAAAGCAAAGAAAAGCAGAAAAGCGAGAAAGCAAAGAAAAGCAAGGGAAGCAAAAAAGCAAAAAAGCAAAGAAAAGCAAAAAAAACAAAAAAAGGAATAGAAGCAAAGAAGCAGAGAAGCACTGCAGGAGGCAATAGAGTAAGCAGGAAGAAATCCAAAAAAAAATCCCTAAACTAAAAAAAAAAAACCTAAATAAATGGCCCTCCTTATTAGATACGTGTGGGTTGCAATTTAATCATCTATACTCACTATACTCACTGTTTTACTCTTTGATTCTTCACTTCCGGCGAGGCAGGCAAAGGCTTCTGCGGGTCGGCAATCCCCATAGGATAGTTCCTGCCCTGGCACAAGCGCAATCTGAGACGCTACGTGACTACGTGGTTTTGGTTTCACAACATGCCAACAAATGTTTGAGCAAACAAAAAGCGATACAGTGTACTTGGTACTGGCTTATCTAGCTTTGTAGCAGCCAGTCAAGCATCCATGAAAATGGAGCTGATGGCTAGGCTTGAATCGACCCATCCACAGAAACACTTGGGGCACCTTCACGACTACTGGCATGTTCACAGGACCAAAGTTGGGCTGCAATCGATAGAAATTTGGCGTCCTCCATGGCATTGGGATCATTGCCCATCGTGGCCATCATGGCCCCAACCATCACCGACAATGCTGGAGTTGGGGCTATATGGGCTATATGGGCTATCTGAAGCAAAGCTACACTGTTACAATCTGTTACATAACCAACCTTTCTGCTAGAAGATTTGGCAAAAAATATGGAGCCACAATCCAGAGCAAAGAATGTTCTTGCACAGTTCCCGTCACTTCATACGTACTCCCTGCAGTGCTGTGAGTGACAGAAATTATTAAACTATGAATTTCCACACAACAAACTGAATGCGGGACCAACATGTTCCAACTAATGCTAGGTACAAAATGGTGACCTGGTATTTCCTCGCGGTAGGCCGTCCTGGTGTAAACAAAGCTGCTTGGTTTCGAGGTGAGAAGTTGTGGATCTCCGCTGCCTGGTTCCGTTGCCCGTTTGTGCCACCGATTCTGTGTTGAGCGTAGCATGCGTAGCTGATGTTCGTTTGAACGTATTATGCCAAAACATAGGAAACATTACGAAACCCACCTTAATCCATTTACATCATTTATATCCCAATAGCATCCAATAACCCTGCTACAGTAGTACCTAGCCCTACGTTGAGAGCGTGTAAAGTGCATTTCTTGCAAGTCCCATGGCTTTACAAGATCTTTATGCGGACCTTTGCTCGTGGCAAATGCACCCTGTTCCTTTACCCTCTTGGCCACCGCACGTCCAGATGCAGGAGCCAACGTGAGGCGGAAACCAATCTCTGGGCTTCTGCCTCCAGACTCATTACGAGGACAATCCTTGTTGAATGCTTCTTGTTTTTTTTGACGCTTCTTTTTTCTGCAGCTTGTACTGTCCGTGACTCACAGTGCCATACATTTGTGTCTGCCAAATTAACAGGCAATTAACGTGCGGACTACATCTCTGTGACTAATCATTGCAAAGACTCATTGGCATGTTCTCAAGATTTAAGCCTTTGACAGTGTCAGTAGAGATTTCACAAAAGGATCCACCGATCATTTCGCGGGTCAAGTTCTAATTTCCATCGATGCAAATGTAAACACAGCAAAGTCGAGCGAGCCACTCCAGCTTCGAATGACAGCAGGAGACCTCCCGGGTTTGCACTTCCGGCTCGTCGCAGGGAAAAACTTTTCACCTGAAACAGCTCGGAGACTATGGCAGCAATGCAAGGATGAAGGAAGAGAATGTTGGGGGGATACAACATCAGTAGTAAGAACAAGCAACAAATGCTTCATGAATCTTGATATATTCTTGTTACTTCTTGTTTGTGTTCTTCATGGTATTTCTATCGTGTGTGCAGTGACACCGGGAACATCCGGGAACCTTTCTTGACTGCAGTAATAATCCTCTCAGCCATAGTCATTAGTCATTCTTAGTCATTGGTGAATTTGGCCATTCTGCCCCTGTGCTGAAGCAACCTCTCAAGTACCTTCACGTCCTTCTCGCCACAGTAAAATATAGTAAAATCTTGAGCTGCGATTTGTCGGAGACACATTTGACAGGCTGGTTTCGCTGCGAAACCGAGAGAAAGGAATGGCGGCCGCAATTGCGGCTGCCACATGCCACTGCTCGAGCTAGATATAGCTGGATGGTTTCAGCATGCTTCATATTGTTTCAGCTTCAAACTCCGTAGTTTTTGAGCTTGGCATAGCATGGCATAGCTTGGCTCTTTCAAGTCTGATACTAGTGAAAGGAAATGAAAGAAGTGGTAAGAGAAGGTCAGGGCAGAGGACAGGCGTGTGCTACAATTCATGTCAGTCTGTCATGATGCAAGTCAACTCATGGAGTGAAGAGACGAGAAAAGCACAGAAACAAACATCATAAGCTAAGGGAGGAAAAAAGAGGAAAAGGTGTAAAAGAAAACCCAAAGATGAAAAGAAGCAAAGGGGACACACGCGCACAAGATCACGGATCAAACTGATTGAGCATGGGAAAACCAACGCGTCCACCGGTGTCTGGGGTCCAAACCGGCTGGTCAGCAATGCACAGGATATCATTCGTACCCAGGAAGACTGCCTGGATACAGCATTTATACTATTTATGTGACAGTTGGAGGCGATTTAGGGCATGAGCTTAGAAGAGGATTCAATACCATTCCAAATACAGGTTCGGCTAACGAGGTTGGATAAATCACAGCAGAGATTTTTAGCCCTTTGGTTCTCCAAAAAGTTGAAATTGAATGATATTTGACTAAAGATTGGACGCAAACTTTTGACAAACCATGCAAGACAAGACCAACTCACGCTTCCCAGCAATGCCGCTCTTTTTAACCTCGGGTCGAGACTATGGCTCTTTGAGGGCTCCGGCATCATCCGATTCCGCATCCCTCATGGCTCCAGTGACCGATGAATCTGAGCTAGCTCCCAAAGTTCCTGTAGGGCAATGGACATTCACACATACTCACACAACATTAAACGCCTCGGTCGGGTTCTTTCAGTGACATATTATTCAGGCCACATTCAGACCGTGGTTTCAGAGTTTGATTGACGTTTCAATCTGGCCATATCTGGCCGACATTTTTTCAAATCGCGTGCCGTACATCAACCATCATCAACCATCATCAACCCAGGTCCACTGCGGATCCTTTCGCAACGGAAAGGCGGGTCCTTTCGCATCCTTCTCTCCACTCTTGTCCTCGAAGGCTTCGTCGAACCTCGGCTGGCACGCATCGGAGCTTCATGACATGGAACTTCAGCTGAGCTTCAGCTGATAATTAATATAGCTTCATTATGAACCATCCGTCTATGTTGACATATATATATATTATGATGTTTTTCTGAGTTTTTCAAATTTTGTTCAGGATCCGATCGGATGGCTTCAGTTTATGCTTCTATGTTCAAATCTTTGGGATCAAATATGTGAACCAATCGCAATGAGTGGGGTACCCGGTTGATCCAGAAAGGCAAATTCCCTCGTATTGACCAGGTTGACTCTGAGAAACAAAAAGCGCGCAATTCTCAAACGTTTGCACTCAAATCGTTGTCGCTTCAGATACCTTTAGTTCTGCAGCTGCAGTCTTTACGAACCAGGTTTTGAAAAATACACTGTGGAATACTGTGGAAAAGAATTATGTCGACATTTGTTGAAGTCGAATTCCTGGTGCGCATCTCATCTCGCGGAAATACAAGTTATACTTGCCTGCTTGAATTTCATCGTTGATACTTAGTTGATACAGTGATATTCATGAGAAGAAATTGCAATGACTATGACTGGACATACTGGACATGCAAAACTAGTAGCCAAGGAACAAACATTTCCTGTGGCATGCAGTTTCTGCGGCAGATATGAAGGAGGAACGCCAAGAGTAGCAATTGGTCTGGAAGCCTAGGATCAAGACCCGCCCGGGGTATCCATAGGAATCCAGGACGGAATCCAGGACGGGCAATGATGCTTGAACATGATGGTCAAAGTTAATCACAGAAGCCATATATGTAACTTATATATAGTTTATAAACCATATAGTTTATATATTATAGTAATATGCACTTATATTAATATATAAACTTAAACCAATCGGAAGTGCACTACAGAAGCAAAGCCAGTGAAGATTGTGACGCTGAATCTAAGCCGTGTTGTAATTTCACACTATTCTCTGGAGAAGCCAAGAAAACGAAGAAATCGAATATGGTGTCATGTGGCTTCAATGAGCTTCAATGACCCAGTGAGGCTATTGCCTTGTTGAGAGTAGGCTGATTCCACCTCCTCACTTGAACACAGCAGGCCACTGTGAGCACTTGGTTTTTTTCCATCTTGGAAAATCCTCAAGGTTCACCAATCATTGGTATCTCCACTTTTTCGTCTGCAAATGTCTGCAATAAATTAGAGTCAGTGCAATTCACATGACAAGAAACGGTGTTTCACATGTTTCATAATGTCAACAAGACTTTGGGGGATGACGTTGGCCTTTCAATACTCCCTGTGCCCCTGTCTGGCAAAAGATCGAGGCCTTGACGGATAGACTTTACAGAACCACTTCCACCGCCAGCCGAGGCTCTCTTCTCATGGCACATAATGCACTGCCCCCAATCACCGTTTTCTTGAAGTGCACAGCGAGCACCGTGCACGCACCAATCTTGCGAGTAGCCTTCACTGCTCCAATCCGAATAGCAATTCAATTGGAACAGGGCACAATAGTATGTGTATATAATTCAAACATATTCTTGAAAACCTGGGTGATCTGCGGTTTCTTTCCGTTGGAATTGGCACGTCAGCTATCAGCTCAACAAGTAGTTCAAGGCTCTGAAAGCTAAATCTGAGCAGAGTGGATTGGGTGCATCAACACTACTGCATGATCGGGCATTTTCTGGTCAGTGCACATTATTGCAGGCCCCACAGCTGCAGCCAAGACGCACCTAGTATTTGGACAGTTGAAATGGGTGGCTCTGATCCCTGCCAAGCGGAAATCATCCTCCCATCCCACGCACTGTTCCTGGAACTCCTCCTGGGCAGCTTGGACGTCAGGTGAGCAGGGAACATGTTCCAAACAAAATTCAAAGTCAAAATCCGACAATTCTCAGCTGCCATCCTGCTACCTCAATTCCTTTGAGTCTCTCTCTCTCTCTCTCTCTGACACATGCTGTCTATGTGTATCAAATGGTGGTGCATGTTTGAATGCGCATGTGTAGTACTAGTTACTAGTCTAGTATTACTATTACATATTATTACATGCAGTATCATGCAGTACATTTGTGATGTGCTTGGTGACTTGGTGCAGTCGGATGAGCATGATATAGTCGGAGGGGCCTTGGCCAAAGGCACGCACTGAGCCCAGCTGCCATCTGGTTTGCTAACACATATTGTTCCCATTTCGCAGTCCTAACACATGATTGGCGTTAGCAGATTCAGCAGATGTTTTTCAGAGCAAAACAAGGCACTGAGCATACATCAGTGACGCGCAACAACAAATTACAATAGCCAGAATGACAACAATCCGTTAAAAGAAAGACAGGATGTTGCTTGTGTCAGGGAAAAAACAGCCTTTGTTCACAATTTGACTCCGCACATGCACTTAAAAAGCTGAGAGTCCTGGTCCCATTCGCACTTGACTGAATTACACTGCATCTTTGTTGCTGCTATGGCAGCAAGTCGCATCTTCCTGTCCCAGTAGCTGCATTCCTTCTGGAAGGTCTTTTCGTCTAAGGGCACACATTGGCTCCATGTTCGATCTTCTTTGAAAACGCAAGTGCGATTGCTATCACACATGGTGTCGTTCGTACAACTGGAAACTATCTCCGGATCGGCCACTGAGAGCTGACGCTGCTGGACCTGTAGTGCATTGAGGGCACACCCACCCTGAGAGCATTCATCGTCCGGGAAAAACTGTGCAGCAATCTGCCCAACCAGCGCAGGAAGAATATAGAGGCTATGTCGCATTCGCTGTCCCATACAGGTAGAAGCACTTTTCTTGTGACGGGCGAACAGCCCTGAAAAAGTCTGACACTTGAGCCAAAAAAAAGTGAGGTGATCAGAGGTGTTCGGGAAAGATAGAAAGATATACCCTCTGGTAAACAGCCACATAACTATGGAAAATCACCATTTTTAATGGGAAAATCCACTATAATCCGATGGCTCGTTCTCGCAACACAAATTGACGCACCTTGGTGAACCTCTGAAGCTTTGTCAAGTGTTAAGGTGTTCGTAACATTACGATACATTATGCTAGCTGCAATGACTTAAAGGACTTATACAGTAACTTATACAGTATAGTATTATATACAGAATATTACATAATATTACATAATATTACATAAAATATCATAGAATCAAACAGGAGTGTCAAATGGGTCATCATTTCTATGGCACAGAGATGAATCAAACATTTTGGGCCTCTGAGCGGGACTCTGTTCCGAGGCCGAAGAGGCATCCCAGGGTCGCGATGCGAGGCAAGGCACTGGCTGTGGTCACCTGCAGTGTTCCATGGATTTTACATTGGTTTATAATGATTATTATACATGTATGTACAATATACATTATATAATATTACTTTATAATGATTTATTATGTACATTATTATGGAATAATGTACATAATCATAATGTATTGTATATACATTGATGTACATTGTACAAATTGTACAAGAAGTTGTCTTTCATATGAGAAGTAAAGAGGACAAAGCTCTTGGTCAAACAGCTTCTGTCGTAAGTGGAGGTGAGTGGTCTCGGAGCATCTCTTGCACCATAAAAGTTGTCTCTATCAGGCAACAAAACAAACAGCGAATGGATGGTTTACCCAAGTTTACCCGGTGAGTCTTTCTGCTTTTGCATTGAACATCATTGAATCGTTGGTGCTGACGCCACCTGTACCGTGTTGCCGGTGGGGACTCCAAAAGTTGGAGCCAAGGACGCAGTCCACAGTTCCACAGCTGAAACGATGTAAACCTCACCCAAGCTGCAACGCATCGCAGAGTTCGACCCCCAATCAGTAAAGAACGGCCAAACAGCTTTGAACTTCTGAAAGGAGTCATTTGTGGTTTCGGAGAAAAGCTTGGAAGCTACAAACAACCATAATCAGTAAATGATAAACACATTCAATAGAATCATAATGAATCATAGATGTATAGATTGACTGTATATATTGGTGAGCGTGTCATTGCATGTCATCGCCTCTATGCTGAATTATGCTACGTTATGATCGGGTGCCTCGAAAGTCTCTTGCGACCATTCTGCTCCATCATTGGATACTTGAACGGTCACATTCGAGCTTCCTGCAGTATCATGGAGCCATATGGAGCCATATATGTGCAGTCAAGACATGGGTAACACATGGGTAACACATCCTTCTTCTCTTGCACTCTTGCGTGAGAACATGTGAGAACCAACTGCATGCTTTCATGTGTAATAAATCCAACTACTACCTGGATTGCTGCAGTCTTCAGGCCTCGAAATGTTCGAAATGAGTTCTTGCTACGATCATAGAATAGCCCCCAGTATCACTACAATTGGGCCCATAGAGGTAAGAAATAGCAAGAATGCAGGTGGCAATGGCTTTGTCCTGGCAGTTCATAGAGCGGAAGAGTACAGCGGACCTCCCGCATAGCTAGTTTCTGTGCACACAGGACGATGCCAAACGCCACATGATTTGAGGCACAGCAATGTGCGCGAATTCAGTGGAAGCTCTGTGTGTGTGTTTGAGGTCTGAATGTAGGGCATGAGGCGAATTGAGGCAATGTCCAGAAATGTGCGACTAAGGCAATGTGCGCCACGTGTGTTCCAACAGTCGACCCTCCAGCGTGGTGAGTTCAAACTTCACACGTTCGAAATGATTGCACACCTGTGTAGAGCTGATGAACATGGTATAGGGCGACACGATCGCACGCCCAGCCTCAGCCAAAGTCACCAAAATGATTGTTTGGCAAGGCCACATTGGAAAGCACTGTCACATTCTGATACTGTTGCTGACTGTTGCTATCTGATAGATCTGGCTGACTCATTCTGACTCCTATGATTTTTCCTCTCCTGTCTCTGTTGGATTCAGGCTGTCAGATAAGCTTCGTTGACCCACTCCCCAAGTGATACAAGTGCCCTAGGCACTTTGTCTTCCCACCTCGCAAAATCTATGTGGATAATTTGTGGAACAGCAATCAACTGAAGTGCAGTGAAGCGACCGCATCAATCAAGCGGCAACGAAGGCGGTTGGTGTTCACAAAGCCAAGTCCAACCACCAAAAGGCTTGGATCCTGTTGGGCAACTGGATTTGTGGGCGCTTCTAGCAACTTGTGCCCAAAAATGCGGAAAACTTACTTAACATTACTTAACAAAATCAACTCCCCCAGAGGTAAAGGCCTCTAGAAGTGTCAGAAAGGCGTTCAAACTTGGCAGTACTGAAGTCTACACTGTTTCTTTTCGTGGCAATGACGGTGAGCTCTTGCTCTTAGCTGTTTATGACGTTGCAATAGTGTTGCAATAGCTTGCTTCAGGGTGACTAAGAGACATTTATTGGGTAAAGCAGCCAAACATGGCAAAGGCAAGTGAATGGAAAGGATTGGTTAAAGGCAGGTATTTAAATGTATATCTAAACAAGGATTTGCTCTTGGGTCCTCCTCGAAGTCAGGGACTCGGCGGCTTCTATCAAGCCTCAGCCAGGTTGCAGAAGACTCAAGAGAACAAGCGGTAACAAGCGTACTGCACTCTCTCTACGTCCATCAGAAATTTTGCCTCTCTGTCTTCTCTGTTGTCATCACTCAAACGAACACCTTTCAAGAGAATTCAAAAGTGAAAAATACTGAAAAATAGTCTCCATACTCCATCGGCAACTGCGAGGGGAGTTCAGTTCACGTATCATTTCCTCTTCTATCCATTCCCGTCAACCGACTTGGATATTTCGAGGCACTCTGGTGGTTGAGCCATGCGTTAGAAACAAGTCTTTGAGTCTTGGCCGAAAATGCACCGAATCTGTTCACTCTTCAGCCACACCGCCAAGAAACCATGGTACCATTCTTGGATGCACAGCTGTAACCTTTGGAGCTGAAAGCAGCATAGATGGAGAAACCTTCCAGCGGAGGCGAGGGTTAAGTCTAGGCCGCCTAGGCCATACGAATTGGAGATCGTTGGCTACAGGGACGTAGGTGTTGTTTTGTTTTTGATCCAAGCACTCCTGGTAGCTCAGGTTTTTGGGCTGAGATCGAAGGAACAAACTGCTATGCAGGGTGCAGTGTACAGTGTCACGAACAGCGTCTGCAGGATGGGATTAGCGCTTTTGCATACTTTGGCCTGGTTCAGCAACAAAGTTTGGGTGTCTTGGTGCACATTGATCAATACTGATGTGACAGGCATTTCGCTGCAATGCCCCTGTGCATCATTAAGCATCTCAACTGTCGATTGCAGCTGTTTACATGTTGCGACAAATCTAGACCATCATTGCTTTCACAATTGAATGTGTGCTTTTCATCAAATTTGCGAGGCACCCACACAATACTACCCAAACTGAGAACTGCTCAACTGGAGCCCCCAACGCTGACTGCTCTGAATCTCCATTGTGAGTAGTGAGTAGAACCATTGAACACTTGACACTTTTGCCATGCAGTGCCCATTTCTTTTCGTAAACAATAGTTTCCAGAATTTCCACACAGACACAAATTAATTTATGAAAAAGAAGGCGTGGTTTTTCCTCGCACCCCATGAGCATGGAAAAAGAACCAGCCAGTTGCTGTCCCACACGCTTTGCTTGAAGTACTTCATGCATATTGCCCAGGATGAGTCAGCAGTCATAATGAGTCGTTAACAAGTCATTAACAAGTCATTATCAAACCATTAACAAGTGTCGCCAATCCCCAATCTTAAACAGCCCCCATAGATCCCTATAGTATACATTATAGATTATAATTATAGATTATTATAGTATCATAGTTGGGTCCCAATCATATCATGGTTTCAATTGGTTTCACCATGGGATCCACCATGGCGCCGATTCACAAAGCGCCTCCACAGTGGCGACCCCTCGCACCAAGAGGCCCTGGTTGGAGGGTGCTGCCTCCGCGTGTGAACATGTGGGAAATATCTGGAAAAAAATTGGAATCCATATCAAAATACTCTTTGTTTCAATAGCTCAACATTGATTTTTGTCGACATCCACAACCATGTTTGCTGGATATGATACAAGTGTTTCATCATGTCCGTTGACATTTCCGGGTGTTTCAGGTTGCAATTCTTTACTTGCACTATCATTGTTGATATTACACTTTGATCCTCTTTGATCCCATACTATACATACAATATATATTATATATACTATAGTCTGTACTCTCACAGGAAACTTCTTCAGACCTGCTATACTTTTGTTGATCTCCTTTCACAATCCCGAGTCCTCCGATTTTCTCCTCTTTCTCTCCAACAACAAATGCCGCCAAAGAATGCGGTTCCAATAGAACCTCCTCGAAATATGTAGATTCTGTAGATATGTTTTTCATGTTTGCCCAATTACTGTACATCCAATTGTGCTTCACATACAAAAAACATCAAAAAACAATTATTCTTCTTCTGTCTTATTCTGTCTTCTTAGTTGGCCGGCTTCTTGAAGTCAGTCGTCCATTGCTCAAATACAACTTCGCCATCCCTGTCCCATCACTTTCCTCGTCAGGATCCACAAAGTATGTGCTGAACCTGAGATGACTGAGATGACAGCTGCTCTCAGCCGCTCTCAGCTCGGATAAAAGCACTGTGGCGAGTCTGGCGAGTCCTGTGCAATGCTTCTGGATGCTAGATGCTTCTGGGCGCCACACTTTTTCAGCAGCTTGCTTCAGGTTTGTATAGGTATGTTTCTAGTCACTAGTTGGGCAGCGCGCAATGGCTCATCACACCTTGCACGCAAGACTGTGCGAAGCCCTTTGCAAGCATGAGCTTGGTTGATCACCCATTCAGGTGCTCAAAAATTGCGTATTGGCCAGCAAAAAGTGTACAAATTTCAAAGTGTACAGAAATGCTGAGAGTGAATTACATCAGTGCAATTGATGCAATTGCAAGAGGATATCGGCAAGAATTTGCCGCTCTAGAATTCGGCTATTCCTCTGGAGTTCGGCCGTTCTTATTTCTGTACAAGCAAAGCGGCTGTTCAAGCCTGATATTTGATCGAGAACCTCGCAGCAGCAAAAAGCGCCGCAACGCCTGCAGCCACCAATGGGAGGCCAAATCCTGAAGATCCAACCAAGTAACACATAGCGAGTGACAAGGTCACTGCCCCAACCTCCGTGGAGATTCTCAGCAATGACAAAGACTCCACTTGCAAACTTGGTGCCAATCCATCAGTAAAAATCGTTGGCAAAGCAGGACCCACCAAGCCTTGGCCTACGGCCAACGCACCGAGCAAAAGTGTCAGCAGCAGTATTTCAGAGCTTTGACTTGTGGCCACCTTTGGCACCCCCGGGAGGAGCACTGTGGCAATTCCAACCAAAACCATTCCAGGCACCAAAACGGCCTTCCGACCCCATCGATCTGACCATTCTGCAGCAGGCTTTGCGCACAAGAAGCACAGCAGGTTCGTGGCCGCCAGGACAACTGAGAAGGCCAGGGCACCCAAGCCAAAGACTTGGGTCAGCATCAGCGGGACCAAGCAGTACAGTGTACTGGCCATGATGCCCCAGTAGAAGGCTGAAAAAATCACCGCTTCTTTGACGCGAACATCTTGGAGAAGTTGTTTCAACTTCCCTTCGCTTGGTTTCTTGGCTGACTTTGGTGAGTCATTCGGTGAGAGATTTTCTTGATTTTCTTGCCTTGGCTTTGTCTCCTTCAGCATCCCTTGATTCACGAAACCCAAGAAGAACCTGGGCTGTGCAACGCTGCATGTGTTGGCTTACAACTATTCAAATATATTGCCTCCTAGGAAAAGTGCAGAGAACTCATCAATGAAGGGCCAAGGGGCAATAAAGGGATATGTCAGCTATGTGCATAACTGCATGACTGTCCGTGACTATCCATTGCAGCAATTTGATCACTCTATGACTACATGGGGGGATCTCAATGGCATCGACCTCTTATGAGAGTCTCACCGTGCAAACAAGCCACGTAATTACTGCCAGTTGTGTCATGGCCGCCGTGGCACCAAAAACTTGAATCAGCTTTCCTCCAATCAGCGGCCCAATCATCGAGGAGAGCTTTTCAGCCATCAGTACAGGCGCCATCACTCGGCTCTTGTTTTCTGAGCTTGAGATGTCAGTGAGAAAGAGCTGCATGCCGGAATTCTGCGCTAAGACTGCTGCTCCAACCAACAGCTTGGCACCTAGCAAGCCTAGGATGGTACCATTGTGAGCCAAAGCAGTCATTGAGAAGCCAAAACAAATGAATGAAAGCACCAACACAGGCTTTCTCCCCCAGGAGCTCAGAAGTGCAGCAACTGGCATCGCACAAAGGATCTTTGCCAGACCTTCTGCTGCACAAACTGCTCCCCAGAGTTCAGCTGACAGCTGAAATTTCTGTGCAACCAACAAAGGAATGATCGGTTGCATTGCTGTGAAGGGCAAAAAAAAGAAGGTCTGCGAAAAAGTTGCGGCGATCTGCGGATCGATCCCAGGCGGAGTTGCAACAGTCGCAACTTGCAGCGTTGCGATCCGCAGGCTTCGGCGACCAGGTCGCTTCATCCATCGATAGCCTAAAAGACAAGCGGAGACCAGAGGCAACGATCCATCTGGCTCCAAGGCGACAGCACTGCAAATCAAGCTGCTGCATGGTGGGGTCGCAGGTACATGGAGTCCCGGACGTGGCAGGACCCCTTGCATGTCGAGCACGGAGAGGTGCGGCTGTGGGGCCAAACGTGCTAAAGACATGCAGTTTTGATCAAATCCACAAGCAAAGGCCATCACAAAGATCAAAGGAATCTGAACGGAAAGAGATAATATAATGTGTATATAAATGGACATCAAAGAAGCAAAAGAGTCGTCAGAATTTCATAGTCTTCACTCAAGTGAGCACACTGCAAAAAAAAGGCGTGTTCTGATCATTCCATTTAAGAAACTGGAAGTGGTACTCTTCTGAATGACCGGTACATACTGCAAAACTTCGTGATGGTTGTGGTTTAAGGTTCCATCAACACTAGCTACTAGCAGCATAATTATGGGCAAACGATATCTATTGGTCGGCCTAGATTCTAGGCTGGCTGATAGATATCGTTTGCCTTTTAGGATTCATTGGATGGGTCCAAGGGTTGTCAGTTGCTGAGAGGTCTGACATCATACCGGGCGGAAAGGTGACGGAGTAGTCCACCACTGGAGCGCTCAGCAAAGGACGCAACCTTCGCTGCAAATGCTCAGCAGCTGTTTCCAATTCACAGACCAGCGGCATACCAGTGGACATACAGTAGCCTTTAAGTTGGTTTGCGCTGAGTTTACAAAGTTGCTGAATTTCTTCCACTCTGTTGTCTTCTCCCCGCGAAGGCTGTAGTTTTTCTTCACTTTTTTTGATGTTTTTGGTGCCAGGGTGTGCCCTTCGCAAAGCATGACTCTCCGTGTCCCTGGGATCGCCAACTCCGCGAGAGGAATTTCCACCAAGCTAAGAGTGCCATTGGTCGGCCTGCAGGCAACGTGCACTGAATTCTTTGCATTGCATAAGATCTTGCAACAAGGTACGTTTTTGCGGGGTTGAACGAATCCTCTAGAATGACTCGGGTATGCTACGTGGCTACATCCACCTCTGTGTAGTGCCAATCAAGTCAATCAAGGACACAATTCTTGTTCCCTTTGGTCAAGAAAACGGATTCTGCTCCGTGGCAATCTTTTCCCTGCTTTTTCCCGCACTACATTTGCATGTTTAGTTTTGGTCTGCTGAGTTCTGCTGGGCACTATGTCGTGGCCATGTACAGCTTGATAGCCATTTATGTAGCCTCTAATGTACATAGAGATTGATTGACAGCGTCATGTTGTCCGCTCCAGAGTGTTTTGGTTTTGCTTTGTACGGTTTGAAGACAAGGCTTGTCGCAGTGTCATACAAGCCGTATTCCATGTTCATTGCTTGGCCATCAACAAACGGCAATGACAGTGTATATAGTGACTATATGTGACTATATAGTGACTATATAGTGGAAGTCGGATCTAACAATATTATGTAATTCTACAGATTTCTACAGATTTCTACAGTGTGTTGGTGCAAGATTCTGGAACTGGGCAAGCAGACGGCGTGTAGTTCGTCGGCGATACCCAGAATTTCACCTGCGCCTGTTGTGACGAGACATCCGTGTGATGCAAATGTCCATTTCAATTTTGGATCAAGTTGCATCAAGTTGCATCAACTGGCCACGATTTGGACATTCAGGTTATCTAAAGTTGGATAAAAAAAAATATGTATTAAAATATGATAAAATGCAATAGCGTGACCATCTATGATATCTATGACAGGTGAGAATCTTGAAAGTAAGCTGGTCAAAGCTAGTCCAAACTGGTCGCCAGTTCTTTGCAAACTTGCTGGCAAGACTGGCCCTTGGAACTGCGTATTTTGTGCCAGAAGCTGCACAGGCAAAGTTGGCATGTTGATCTCCTCCGAAGAATTCATGCTGGAACCCTTCATTGAAGTTGTGGGGTGCAGATTGTCGCACATACATACTTCTGTTAATGGGTTGCAATTTGAATCAAAATGCATCAAAATGCAAGGTATAAACCATTTGACTTGCAAAAACACAGCCACAGTGGAGGCTTTCAAAGCAGTCCTGACCGACCAAACCAACCTCAGAACAACGAGGTCAATCCGACTCAGGAAAAGACCAAAGCCACTCAGCATAACAATGATGAAGTATTGTACCCTCTGGTAATTTAACATAGCTATTGAAAATCACCATTTTTAATGGGAAAATCCACTATTAATGGTCATTTTCAATAGCTATTTTGACATAACCAGAGGGTAGATTATGGCAGGTCAGACTGTCTGCTGCGTTTCACTTGTGCAGTTGCGTTGAATCCACATCAGCACAGCACAGGCTGGGAAAGTTAGGCCAAAACCTGCACCTTCACATTTGACGATGTGGTCTCTCCTGACGTGCCAGTGGCCCGATAAAAACCTTGAGATGACTTGAGAAAGCAGAAGGTTTCACCTATCCCAATACTGTGCTTGATACATTCACATACCAGTAGCAACCATGCTCAAAGCTTTGTCTCAGCCCAGCTCTTTGTCACGAACACTCTGCATGTGTGTGTGTGTGTCGCATGTTTTTATGCAAGTTGTATCGCAAAGAGTATGAGTAATATTAGTTTATGATTTATGTATGTTTATGTATGTTTATGTTGTTATGTTTGGTTTCTTCAAATCTGTTTTGCAATTACACGCATTGGGGGTCCTCCCAATGGGACGGTGAAGAGCTGCCGCTGTGGGTACAGCATAAACGATGCCTTGTTCAGGAGCGCTCTGAGCAAAACATATCGAACAAATGCATCATGTCATGTCTTGATCCGCATGGAAACATTGGAGACCTGAGCATACGATGTCAGAAAAAATACCCCAAGGTATCAGAGAAAGAACTCAGATTGTGCTCAAAAACGCATCCACCTCCTTTGCTTATCTTTGCTTCAATTTCCACCAGTTGTGAAAAGTGGCAGTTAGACCCTGTTGCGCGTGACGTTCAAGGTGCCTCCGATGGTAAGGCAGTGCCATGAATCCTCAAGGTGATCTTCACCTGACACCATGGCTTTGTGGTACCTGCGTGTAGATCCTATGAAGCAACCAATCCTAGAAGCCACAAACGAGCAAAAGTCGGCCAAAGCACCGGTTTTGGGGACGGAAGTTACGGTAGCTATTAGTTATCAATAGTGGTTACATTTACATGTTTCATGTTAATGTCAACCCTGGATTAATAAACCCCTGGGCTGTTGAATTGGGAGGGTACCATTTAAGTATTAGATTATGACTATTGGAGGAGTACCCCCTAATTAACAAACCATGGTTTATTAATCCGGGGTTGACATTACTACAATTTGTTACATGTTACCACTCTGGCCTCGCGCCCGTCTGGAAGTCCAGGAATCGTTGGTGGAAAACAGGCTACGCGCTGACTGTCCAAGACCTTGAAAAAAATCACGACTCAGAAAGGTTTCCTTGCTGTTGTCACAGTCATGAAACATTTCATGAAATTTCGAAACACAACAATCATCAACAATCATAACAACACAAGGCAGTCTCTCCATCCCCATCCACTAACATCAGCCGTCCGTCAGCTGCCGTCAGCTGCCGTCAGCCGTCCGCTCCGTTCTCCGAGCCCAGGCTTCCGAGCCCAGGGAGTCGATTCCGCCTCTCCATCAAATCCAGCAGGCTGGAAGACGCATCTGAGCGTGGCATAGCGTGGCTCACGGAGTCAGGATTGGTTTGTGATCGCTTGCGATCGCTTGCGATCACTTGTTGCGACAAAGCTCAAGTTTATCAAGTTTGGTGTTTGATGGTTTTCGAATGTTTTTGGAGTGAGATGATGTGATGTGCTTCAAAAAGCAAGAAGCACCTCTTGCATTCTTGCACTGCACCAGTCGGAAACCCGGACCCTACTCTTTCACCACAGAGCCTGGAACCTTCTGTCTCCCTCAAGAGACTTCCCAAAGGTCCACCGTACCTCTGATTTCTCGGGTTGGGTGTGGCACATGCATCACATGGATGAGTGATGCAACAAAGCATAGCTTTCAGCATTTTGCATAGCATAGCTTTCAGCTTGGGGAAGCTCTCAAGCCCTGCAAGGTGTTTGCAAGGTAGGCCAGGCACTCTATCGACTCCCATCAAACACGGGGCTCACTGTGGCGAATGCTAAGGTCAGTGCAGTACAAGTGGTGTGTTGCTTCCAAGTGCCGTAGCATTCGGCGACACTCTGCCGACGATCGACTTTTGCAACACCTGTGTGCGACCCACTTCACACATCCCCAGAATGCTAAAGTCAAGGTGGCACAGTACTTGGCAATGTCTACATGTGTCAATGACATGTCAGGCTACCTTGGCTACATAATAAGGATTCTCCAAAACTGTTTGCTGCTTGGACATGATTAGCCATGCCCACTGCCCGCACTTACCCTGCATGTTTGAGGCACCTGGAAAGGCACAAAATTCTGAGCCACTGCGAAAAGCGAATCGTAGTTGAGCACACCAACCTGCCCCGCTCGTTTAAGAGGAGATGCGGTGCAACCTCCAAGTTCAGTACAAGGGTAGCTTCTTTAGAATACTACAAAATGGAAGTCCCGAGAAGTCCAGAGGCGAAAATGACAGCAGGCTAGCGCCTGCCATGTTCCTAATGCAGAAGTCTCTGGGATGCGGCAGCGCACACGAGAAGTGCCTGAGCTAAACGAGACGCTGTATCTGACAAGAAACACAAGTGATGGCGCTCGGCCATGGCAACAAGTATGTCCAGTATGTTCAAGTCAACACGTTCTCTTGCAGAATTTTTAATTACTTCGGACTTACAGTAGAATGAAAAATACTGCTGAGAAAATGTGCGCACCCTTGTTCATCTTGTTCTTGCTAAGTTCAGCACTCTGAAAACCCGCAGTGGAATCTGTCGAGCTGGCTTCAGCCTGGAAAATGTGCAGTGCCAAAGAGATGGGGCATCTTGTTGTACATTGGGCCATCAGCCATCATGGGCCATCATGCGTGCGACCTATGTGTCCTAGTCTATGTATGTCTATATCATTTCATGCTGCGCTAGGTCTAGTTGTAACTGTGCATCGATCTATATGGCAATAGTGGAATAATCCTTGCAACTTGTGACTTAAGCTGACTTCAGCAATGCCCCGTCACCTTTGTGTCTCACCACATCTGTTTAGAAACAACGTCTTTTCCCACAGTCGCCGCAAGGGTATAGCTGTGGTGTCTGTGTGTAAGGCGCGGGTCTAAGGCACGTCTT